CCGTCCGTGATCCGTTTGACGTGTTGATTAGAATCAACTAAAGGCCAAACTTATCTGCCCATTAGGTTGTGGTATTCAGACGAACTTCACCAACGGTACTCTACATCGTCTCAGAGTCGGCAAAAATTTTAAAAGGTAAACGTCCATATCCTAACTATAGATTCTGCTGCGTTAGGATTTATTTCGATAAAGTTCAATACTGTGCATGTTGTTTGACGTTCCTAACAGAACCCAACAAGGCTAGCTAGGTCCTTGGGTTCAGTGGCTAGTTTACTTTTTGTGGGGTTGCTATTCTTGTATTAGCACTACGATTTCACTAACCTATCTTGGTCCCCATGACTTTTGCTCATGCCAAGAATAGTTTTCTGAAATGGTTTTTTGTGTCCTTCTGTTTAGATCACCATTGTTGGTGTTTCTGTCATTCTGCTCTGTTGCAGCGGATTTGTACATACTCTTACATTTGGTTGATATAAAATCTATAGTTGTGAAAAAAAAAATGAGGAGGCAAATTGTCAGTTTCGATTACACTGGGAGGCAAATTGTCCAAAAATAAAGCTTGTATGGCAAACTCTAAAAAATGGCATAAATTGGGAGGTTAAAAAAATCCTATTTTTTTTTTGTTTTGTTCTTTTTTTTTTTTTGGTATGGTTAATTTTATAAAGGTAGTTGATTTGATGTAAAGTAGAAGAGATTTGATATGAAGTGAGGTTACTTAAAATTATATGAATTGATGAATAATGAATTAAAACTGATAATATGTAAGAATGTTGAGTGTTATTATTTAATTATATTGATAATATTGAGGTTAAGTTAAAATTGAGTTAAAAATTTGATTAAGTTAAAAATATTAAAAAAAAATTTGAGAATTCCAGCGTTTAACACACGTTTCATGATAAATTCGATGCTACATGTGGGGACACTGTGATGAGAACGAGAGTCGTGTTCTCAAAAATGCTTACAACCGGGCCCGTAGAGCTCGCATGAAGGAAGCTCGGATGGATGAATCAAGTAGCAGGGCTGTTCACTTCATGCAGAAAATTGTCACGCCTCATGTCGCGCCGCTGGACCTGCCACGCCGCGAAGAAGTTTCACCTCCACACCGCGAGAGACGTAACAACCAGACAGAGAAGGAGGGTGAGGCTGTCACGCCGTGGACGATGCCACGTCGCAGAGCTCCCAGGTCGCCACGCCGTGATGCTGCTCGCGATGGACGTAACGGGCGGACAGAGAAAGAGGAGGTAAAGATCCTTCACGCCGTGGAACACGCCACGCCGCGGCAACTGGACTCCGCCGCGTCGCTCCGTGAAGAAGGGAGATCGTGGGATCGGAGCAGCAGTTCAATGCAGTTTTCTTAGCAGTTTTCGTAATTTTCATTTGCAGAACCGTATTTAACTTTGTATCTTCAGACTTTGTTTTGTCTTATCTTTCAAGTAATATGAAACAAAAATCACTCGGCCTGAGCACCAAAATCGTGTCGACAGACGGCCAACTAGTGCGCATTTACACATATTTTCGTGTTTTCCTTTATAATCGATACACGATCTTAACATTGGTGCTTTCAAGAGAGATCACCGATCGTGTATCCATGTCTAATAGAGAAAGAATCGATCATTTGGAGGATAGTGTAGGTTCAATCAACGAGTACGTACAATCAACAAACCAAGTGATCGCTAGGATTGAGAGGATGATGCTCCAAAATGCAGCCCGACAAGCCAAGAAGAATGGTTCCGAATCTTCGTCGGATGGAGAATCAGACGCAAGTAGTGAAGCCGGATTTCATAACGAGTTTACGGTGAAGAGGATAATCGTTCGAGGGGTTCAAATCATCAGGAACACTAGAGGAATGAAAAAACTAAGGTTATTTTACCAACATTCAACGGGACGGATCCCGATTTATGGTTAAATAGAGCAAGTCAATATTTTGAAATCATTGAGGCGCCGAGAAGGGATCGGGTAAAAATCATTGCTTATTACTGTTGATAGCCGAGTTGGCCCAGATTGAACCGGATACTCAACCTCTCAGGACCGAGCCGAAAACCCGGTCTGGTGGAGAGGTGCCGAGCTGAACCGAGGATTAAAGATGTGCAAAACTGCCATAGGAACATTCTCCCAGTCCGGCACCTGGCTCAGTCAGGACAAAAGCCGGCCTGGATGGGTGCCGGACAGAAAGAAGACTATTCGCAGTCTCGTGAACATTTTTGAGTGAGGTGCCGGCCTGAAAATCTGAGAAGGCCGACCAGAGGGAAAGTGCCGGTTTCGATGAGCATTAAAATATTCCCACTTGGGAGGCCATCATTGGACAATGGGACAAGTAATCATGGTCTAGCACCCTACCAGTAAGCCTAATCAATAAAGCCTACCAGCATTAAATGCCTGACAGGTAATGATTGAAGAAACCTCAAATCGCATTAAATACATGTCAGAGGGACGCCGGACTGCTCTTCAAGGCCACTGTGGGACAACACCGGTGAACAGTAGCTGAATAGTGCCACATTAAAGACTACTATAAATAGCAGCTCATTTCATTTATTTTGGATTGTTGAAATTCAACTAACTCTGCCTTCTCTCTTCTTTCTCTCTCTTAAACTGTAAGAAACTCATTGTAAGAATTGTAAGTATATTGCAAGTGCCGACCTCGTACGAGAGGCCGACTTCGTGATTGCCTAATAAAACCGTAATTAAACCGAATCATCCTTCCGTTTTCAATCTCTTACTTTCAACATTTATCATTTTAACCATTGACCGAAAATGCTTGTCAACAGTTTGGCGCTAGAAGGAGGGCACCATAAGTTACTTGGTGTCAATTAATCGATCTTGTGAAGCCCCATATTCACTCACCTTCGTTTACCTCGAATCCCGTTCAACATGACTTCATCCAATCACGACGAGTCAACCCAGCAGTCTGGCGCTCAGCCTCGCCGGCACAACGGCGAGGAGACCTCTCGCCGCAACCAGCAAGGGACTCAAGCCCCTGTCCCTCCTGTCCCGACTTTTGCTGCTGCCATGCAGCACCCCGACGTCCTCAAAGCCTTAGAAGGAGTCTTCGCCAAGGCCCTCGCGAGCCAGGCACCCGGGGGGAACACCGTGGCGGCCATGGATAACCCCGTCAACACCCTGCACCAGACCCCGACAAGGAGGCCGGGGGGCAGTAGAAAAAACCCGCCAAATCCAAGACGACAGCTCAATCACCAAATCGCACCGCCCAAGCCCGGCGCGAGAAAAACGCAAGGTTGGCGCCCACCGAGCAGACTGGCGAAATCCAGCCAGACCGGAGCCTCCAGGTCATACGTCGCTCCGTGTACCAGCGCCTGGGAGATAAAACTCAGGCCAACCGCGACCTTAGGGACGTGATTGAGCAAGGCAAAAACATTGGGCGCGACGCGGACGAAGTCGCGGCCCTCAAGCGCAGAATTGCCGAACTAGAAGGTCGGTGCTCTCCCCGGGGAGGTACATCGCCTCCCCACTACTCACAACCCATTCCTCGGGTCGTGGATCATGCCTCCCCCCTCTCTCCTGACATCCTGCGCGAGCCCATGCCCCAGAAAATCAAGGTGCCACAGCTCGAACTTTATGATGGGAACTCGGACCCCGACTCCCACATCGGCCTTTACACTTCCTGGATGGATTTTCACGGCGCGACGGACGCCTTACGATGTTGCATGTTCTCCCTGACCCTAGGACCGAAGGCGCAGAGGTGGTACCATTCCTTGTATCCGCACTCTATCTGCACTTGGGGCCAACTCAAGTCGGCATTCTGATCACACTTCATCGGATCACAAATCAGCCTGGCCCCCAAGGAATCAATCGCCAACATCGTCCAGGGCGAGGATGAGAGCCTGAAGGACTATATCACCCGGTTTAATGACCGAGTTCAATATATGGAACAGTGCCACCCCGAGACCCTGCTCGTCTCCGTGCAGGCCGGGCTGAAGCCGAAAACCCTGTTTAAATGGTCCCTGTGCCAGAACAAGCCAGCCACCTACCAGGAATTCCTCATCAAGGCCCAAAATTACATTATGGCCGAGGAGTCCTCGTCCATTCCGGTGCTGGATGCCGCGACGAGCAAGGACAAGAATAAAGACAAATCAGGGAAGCCCGGCAAGACATTCGCCGAGGTGCGGGCCATGAGGAGACAGAGAGCGGAGGAACTCAAAGAAAGCTTCCAGGGCGTCTTCTCTGTAGGTGCCGCCGCAGTCTACGAAGAGATCAAAACGAAGGGCTTGTTGTCGGATCCGAAACCCATGTTCACCGACAAAGACAAGGTGGACAAGTCCCGATATTGCGCCTACCACAAGGCACATGGACATAACACAGACCAATGCCGTAACTTGATCGTGGCGCTACTCAAGCCGATTGACGACCCTCAAGTCAAGAAGTTCACTCACTCGGGTGAGAAGAGAAAGAAGGGAGGCCGCTTCGGGGACGGCCTCGACAGCGACGAAGATGCCGACATAAACCCCCGGAGGAAAAAACCACAGCAGGGCGCGCCTAATGAGATCCTGATGTTCGACCCGGCCCATCAAGGTGAGCCCGACACCTCCGTAGAAAGAAAAAGAGATCGATCCCCGCAGTCGAGTACCGACCTGACTGATTTCCCACCCCGGCGCGTAAACACAAGCCGAGGTGAATCCCTCTTTTCGAGGAGGCAGACAAAAGCATACGCCCGACAAGCTTATTATGCCGGACAGAGAGTGATGCACGCTGGAAGCAGACCGGCGGCTGAGCCAACGCCCAATAAAATCTCCTTCATAGATGAGGATGCCTTTCTGTTCGACCATCCCCACTCGGACGCCCTGGTGATGACGACCCCAATAATGGCGATCAAGATCCACCGAATAATGGTTGAAACTGGGGCCTATGCGAGCATTTTGTACTACAACACGTTCAAGAAGATGGGGATTGACAGGAAGGAAGTGCAACCCTGCCGAGAGCAGATCCAAGGGTTTAACGGTCAAATGACGACCCCCGTCGGTCAAGTGACGTTGCCGATCAGGTTCGGGGAGAAGGGGCAGCCCACGCGAACGATACTGGAAACCTTCAAGATAGTGGACTGCCCAAGTGAATACAATGCCATCCTAGGCAGGACGGCTCTTTACAAGCTGAGGGGGGCCGTCTCTATTTTCCATTACTCCCTCAAGTTCCCGACCTCGGACGGGGAAGGGACTCATCAGGGAGATCAGAGAGAAGCGCGGGAATGCGTCCTGACCATCCCTCGAATGGAAATCAATACAGCGAACTCCGCCCCTGGAGCCGGGACGAGTGAAACCGTGTCCCACGGAGAAGAGGACAACCACAGGATGAGAAACCAGATAGGCACGCCACTCCTGGAAACGATGAATGCCGGCCAGATCGTCGAAGACGCCGAGGTGGAAGGAAAAACAGACGTTGAGGGGGATCATATGGACCCAGATACCGAGATGGATCACCCGGCCCGGGTGACGACCGCATGCTGGAAATCCAGATAGGTCCGCTCCCCCAGGTCGGGAAGAGTGCCGAGCAGGAGAAAGGGACGGAGTCCGACCTGGACCAGGACAGGGGACGAAGAGCTGGAAAGGAGCCGATGTTGGAGGAGGACGAGCTCGACCCCCGAACCCAATACGAAGGTCAAAATCATCTTCATCGATGAGGAGACCTGTCAAAAGAAACTTCGGATCGGCAGTAAACTGCCAGCGCCATTAATGGCCGAGCTAACCAGTTTTCTTCGAGAAAACGCGGACGTATTCGCGTGGACCCACGAAGACATGGTCGGCATTGACCCGAAGGTCGGCTGTCATAGGTTGCAGGTCGACCCCACAGTCAGGCCGGTCGTTTAAAAGAGGAGGAAGCTAGGGCCAGACCGGCAGCAAGCTCTCAAAGAAGAAGTGATCAAGCTCAAGGACAATGACTACATTCGGGAAGTCCGGTACCCAACCTGGGTTGCCAACCCGGTACTGGTAAAGAAGGCCAATGGGCATGGCGTCTTTGCATCGACTTCTCCGACCTCAACAAGGCGTGCCCCAAAGACAGCTACCCCTTGCCCCACATTGATTATATGGTGGACGCCACCTCGGGGCATGAACTGATGAGCTTCATAGATGCATATTCCGGCTACAACCAGATCCCAATGCACCCGGATGACGCCGAGCACACCTCTTTCTACTCGGCACGCGGACTCTACTGCTACACCATGATGTCGTTCGGGCTGAAGAATGCTGGGGCCACATACCAGCGCTTAGTCAACAAGATGTTTGCTAGTTTGATAGGTGGTAGTATGGAAGTGTACGTAGATGACATGTTAGTCAAATCTGTGTATGCATCCGACCATGTAAACGACCTCAATAAAATGTTTTCTATTTTGCGTGATTACAACATGAAGTTAAATCCCAAAAAATGTACTTTTGGCGTCGGCTCCGAAAAATTCCTGGGGTACATCGTCAGCCAACGCGGCATCGACGCCAATCCCGAAAAGATCAAGGCCGTCCAGGATCTCCGACCGCCGACCTCAATCAAAGGGGTACAAAGCCTAACTGGCAAGCTTGCCGCCCCCAGTCGATTCATCTCGAAGTCGACAGACCGGTGTAAACCGTTCTTCGACGAAATCAAAAAGAATCATAAGTTCGAGTGGACTCCGGAGTGCCAGCAAGCATTGGAAGCTATCAAAGAAACCCTGTGCCGGGCTCCAACCATGCAAAAACCCCGACCTGGAGAGATGCTTTTCCTTTATCTGGGAGTCTCTGACGTGGCAATCAGCGCCGCCCTCATATGAGAGGACGAGTCTTCCGAACACCCTGTCTACTACATCAGTAAGGCGCTTCACGATGCCGAGCTGCGATACCCACCGATGGAAAAACTCGTGTTCGCCTTGGTAACCCCGCGCGAAAATTAATGCCGTATTTCCTCGAATATTCGATAACCGTTCTCACCGCCTACCCGTTGAGACAGATTCTTCACCGACCTGACACATCAGGTCGGATGGTGAAGTGGGCAGTGGAGCTGGGGCAATACGACATCCATTACCGACCCCGAACAACAATGAAGGGGCAGGTACTATCGGACTTCATAGCCGAATTCACGCCAGGACTCAGAGAAACGAACGAACAACCTTGGGTGATGTACGTGGACGTATCCTCCACTACCGGACGAGCAGGTGGAGGAGTCGTCCTCGTGGATCCCCACAAGAAGCTCTTTTGTCATTCGATGCAATATCTCTTCCCGGCAACCAACAATGAAGCCGAATATGAGTCATTGCTATGCGGGTTTGCCTTGGCAGAAGCCATGAGTCTAACCGACCTCATCATATACTCAGATTTCATGCTGATGGCTAAGTAGATATTCGGAGAGTTCGAGGTAAAGGAACCAAGATTGGTCCCATACCTGGGGTTGGTGAAGAAGAAGCTGGCCAAAATCTGGGCCAAAGTAGAACATATCCCTCAGACAGAGAACGTACAAGCTGACGCCCTGGCCCGTCTCGCCTCGAGTGTCGGGGTGGAAAGTGTCGAGTATGTCCAGGTCGGACACAAAGAACAGCCATCCGTGCTCGGCACTTCCGTGCTGAGTGCCGAGCAGGGGGTGGAAGATCAAGATCCGGGCTGGATGGTCCCGATCCGTTCGTATCTCGAGACCGGTGCGTTGCCGCCGGACCCAAAAGAGGCCAGGCAGCTTCGTACTCGGGCAGCTCAATTTACAATCGTAGCCAGAGAACTGTTCAAACGGGGCTACTCGGCACCTTTGCTCAAGTGCGTAGATGAAAGGAGCGCCGAATACATACTTGAAGAAATCCACGAAGGCGTATGCGGGAATCACTCAGGGGGGCACGCCCTCGCACACAAGGTCCTTAGACAAGGCTACTACTTGCCGAGTCTGAAGAAGGACGCTTTGGACCTGGCTCGGAGATATACGAAATGTCAAACATTCGCGCCCAACATCATCCAACCGTCGCAGCCCCTAAAATTGATTCTCAGCCCGTGGCCATTCGCCAGGTGGGGTGTCGACCTGATCGGCCCCCTTCCTACCGGAAAGGGCGGGGTGAAGTACGCAGTGGTTGCAGTGGATTATTTCACGAAATGGGCGGAAGCCGAATCGCTTGCCACCATAACGGAACAGAAGATGATAGATTTCTTATGGAAGTTCATCATATGTCGATTCGGAGTGCCGAACTCGATCATCACCGACAATGGCAAACAATTCGAAGGGAGGAAGCTCGAGACGTTCTGCGCAGAACACATCATCAAACACTTCTTCTCGACACCTTACCATCCCCAGTCTAACGGCCAGGTCGAGGCAGTAAACAAGATAATCAAACAGCGGCTCAAGGTCTGACTCGAAGCCGCGAAAGGGGCCTGGTCGAAAGAACTCCCGAGCGTACTCTGGGCCTACCGCACAACGGCCAGATCGTCAATCGGCGAAATGCCATTCTCGCTGGCATATGGGTCTGAAGCAATGATACCAGTCGAGCTCGGCGCCCCAACGTTTCGAGTAACCAACTTCGAGGAAGAGTCCAACTCTGAGTTGTTGGGAGCCAACTTGGACCTGATTGACGAGCACAGGACGCAGGCCGAGCTGAAAAATGCAGCATACAAGAGACAGAGTGAAAGATGCATCAACTCTCAGGTCAAACCGCGCTCGTATCAGGTCGGCGACTTGGTGCTCAAAAGGGTGACGGGGCCCGACCCCGGACCCCTCAAACCAAAATGGGAAGGGCCATACAAAATCCGCGAAGTCCTCCCTCACGGGGCCTACCGTCTTGAGCATCTCGACGGCACCCCCCACCAGTACCCTTGGAACTCGGCGTTCCTGAAGAAGTTTTACCAGTAGGTCTAGATCGATCTATTGTAACTCCTTGTAATGTTTTGTGATGAAGTGCGCGCTGCAAAAATGTAATCTTCCCTTATTATTCACGACAGATTGTAGACTTAGGCATAGATCGAGTCGAAGCGACGTAAGGATCGGTGTCGGCCAAGATCAGTACGATGACCTGGTCGGCACCTCATAAAAACATAAGGATCGGTGTCGGCCAGGATCAGTACGATGACCTGGTCGGCACCTCATAAAAACGTAAGGATCGGTGTCG